TATTGCAGAGAACACAATATTCTGTAACATTCACCAGCACATTACTGTAATCCAGTGTATTGTGCTAGCATATTGACGGCTCCAAGTCTGTTTCCCATATTGTCCTCTTGTCTGTTTCAGAGAGCCTTGGTGCTGGATACCGCTGCAGCACGTTTATATTTTTATTGATGAGGCTGGCTTTAACCTAGATAAAAGAAGGGGACGGGGACAAACCAATAATTTTGTTGTAAATGTCCCTGGACAGCGTGGAAGGAATATCACCGTGCCAACCTTAGTCCCTAAGACAACACCCTTCTTATCACATTCCTGGACACACTACATGACATCCATCTTCTAGACGAGCAGACCAACCTATGTAATGTCAAATGGGACAATGTGAATTTACACTAGTTCATCGACCACCGTTTATTGTTCTTTAACCTCCCGCCATATTCCCCATTCCTAAACCCAATTAAAGAGTTTTTTGGCATGGCGATGGAAGGTGTATGACTGCCATCCCAACAGAGGATACATGTGATGAAGTTGATGTGGGGGCTGTATCTGTAACTCTGTAACTCCAAAGGATTCTTTCCCCGCTGTTTCACCAGGAAGAACATCGCTTGTGATGTAGATGAGGTTCTCTGGCCAGACCACAATTTCTTTTTTCTTACATTATGCAACAACTGGCTTGTCAACTGATGTAACACTGAAAATGCAAAAGGCATAAACCTACATGTAAGATATTCATAGTTGTGTTTTTTGTTGTCGTGTGTGGAAACATTTATTCATAAGATGGTGTATGTGTGTCATTTTGATGCAAAAAACTGTTTTGAATACAATGTTTGCTTTTGCAAAAGCCTTGAGGAGATTTTGCATTTTATGATTAAGGTTTTGTTCAGAGTTTTGAGAAAATGAGCGTAAGATTCAGAAAACATGTCTGAACAATGGTTAATAACTAAGTTGGAGAAGCAAATAATAAAATATAATATATATAATAAAATGTTTTCCTTTCAAGGTTTGTCAGCTGAGAAAGTCTTTTTTTAGGTTACACAAGGCTTGGCTGAATGATTTGAACAACTTCATTGCACAACAGCTCATGAATGGCAGTGCCAAAGGGTTACAGCACAAATTCCTAATCCACACACCAATAATATATAATAATAATATTATAAGAATTCTATTTGTAAAACACTTTTCAAGTGTACAAAGTGCTTTCCGGAATAAAACATATAGAGATAGAAAATATTAGTAGGCTATTAATATAAAAGAAAGAGTAAACGGATGATACGAAAAAAGGGACAATTAAAATTGATGTATTAATTCAAACAGGTAAAAAGAGAGTTACAGTAGTCCAAGCATGTTTTTTCTGTGTCATATGTTGCACATGTTACAATGAGGAGGCACTGAAGAGATTGATAAGCAACCTGTGGTCACTTCTTAGTTGTATTAGACAGCAAGAAGAGATTGTTGGCTGTGTGTAAGTCAGACAGTAAAGAGGCCCCTGTTAAAGTGGAAGCTGTCTCTGAATTGCTGTCTGTAAAATATGTCCACCATGACCTCCACAAATGTCAATCCTGTTGTCATCGTCCAAATGCCAGTTGTATTTCTTTGATTTTTTTTCTTCAGATGGAAACATGGAAATAAACATTAGCAGATACAAAAGGACAATAACTAGTCACACAGTACTAATGCATCTTTTAAAGGTTTCTTTTCTTGTGAATGTGTTCTTCTGTTGTTCAGGGCTGTTTTTATTTAACCCAGCTGATTTCATTTTGGACCAGCTCCTGTGCTCATACTGGGGAACAGGTAATGCCTTTGAATTGTGCAACAGATTTTCATTAAATTTATGAATGTGCTTTATAGTCACAGGCAGTGGTCTATCCCAGCATGCACTGGCACACTGAATAGGCTGCTACTACATCATTGGGAAAGTACTGAATTGACAAATCCACCTGATGACATGCAGGTTTATTATTTGTTTCCTAAAAAGCACTAATGCTTAAATGTCACTAGACTGCCAGTAATTACTTTCCTTTGTAAGTATTAATTAATAAATGGTGACAATAGCATATTGCTTTATAGAATATGGTGAAACACTTAAACCTATGTTCTGTATAGGATCCTGGAGACCCCGGGCCCTCTTTAACTATGCATAAAACATAGTTTAAGGTGGGGTCACTCATTCTGGAGAAAGACGGTTGACTGATGAGTCTCATTCCCAGGTCATCAAATATGCTCTTCAAGACACTTTGAGTTATAATAAATGTGGAAAGATATTAAGAGTCTTCATCAATAATCAACTATTTTTCACCAGAACATTAAATACAATGGATTGCCAGATGCTCTACATCGGTGATTGCTTTTATGCAGCGCTACACCTCTCATATCCCGATTTATCTAAATTCTATTTGGATTTCTGTTATAGGAGTTTTTTAGAGTGTCTAACATGTAGTTTGACCTGTCTGGTTTCTAACTGACCACAAACATAAATATGGCCACCTGCTTCAAATGTGCAAGGTCAACATTCCTCTACACTGGCCTTTAATAAGGTCAGAGAAAAGGACAAACGTATTTAGAGAAGAAGGAAATATGGTATTGTTATAATTTTTACACAAAGATTGGACCCAAAACAATGAGGGAGTAAAGCCAATTTCAAGGGTTGAACTTGATCAGGTTTGTTAGGTTGCACTTTTTTTTTTGTCCCACTTAAATTGGTGAATATTTGCATTGATGTTATCAGTTTGGTCTCTGACATTTTCCATCAAAATCCAAAATTTCCAAAATCAACCCTGCAGTCAATCATGTAACTGTAAATCATCTGGTTTCACAGATCCAGTGTACATATTCTGGTTATTAGTACAATAACATTAACAAACTTTGATTTTAAAATATATATATACTTTCTGTTTGTGTGGATTATATTTCTATTACTGTACCATAACTTCTATTCTCAGGCAGCAGACAACAACAGATTCAGAGAGTGTAGTTTCATAACGGAAAAACTGTTCTATGCGGGATATAATTTGTACATTTGTAGTGACAATCAGACTAATTCAAACCTTTAACACAAACTACTTGTAAAAGATTTGTTGCTAATTTTAGCATACAAAGTGTGACTTTTTGCAGCAGTGGGGAGATTACTCTATATGTCATTATGTATTTTGTTCTACAACTGCCCTCAAATTGAAATAATATTCTCATTGATTTCACTCCATTTGCCAATACTTATCCCCCCCTGAAGGTGACATTTGTTCTGCTTATTTCCTCCACACCGTAAAGGCCAACAGTTGAGGAGAAACAGATGGGAAATTCAGCTCTCAGTGCTGACGTGCTGATCAGCATCATTTCACTGGTCCATTCAAATTTACTGAAATACTTCTATCTTGACACCACAACTTGGCTCTTATACATCCTCAAAACAAAAATGTATCTTTCTCTCAATTTTATCTTGGTTATTAGTGTTATTATTCTACTCACTCTAAGTAAGGAGGTTATTTACAAGGTCAGGAGAGTTGTCACTTGCTATAATTATCTCTCATGTCTCTTACAAGTTGGTTTATTACTATCTTGCTAAATGTAGTTATTATAATTATAATATCTCATATACTGTAGTAAATAGAGGAGAGCTCTCGGTAACCCTATGAGTTAGTTTCATTGCCTGCATGGACTGGCAAATCAAATACAACTGAATCAAATTATTTTCACTGTATATTGCAGTTCTTGAGCGTAAAAAACATCAAGGAAAAGGTGAATATGCACCAAATCAGTTAACACAACTCAATGTACATTTATTTTCTGTTTTGGTGAGATCAACTTGCACACACAAGCACAAGGACAATGGTTCATTCTTCCAAAGATTTGAAACAAAAATAGACAATAATTTGAAGTCTGAGAGGGAATATTTTTATTACATTTGTCAAAACTGGTCTAAGTGCGGCACCATTCTTCTGTCTGCCCACGCACAGCAGGTTACATAAATGGTTTCAATGCTTGAGCCCACTCAGTGTTTTAGTGGGCAGTCAACAAGTGAAAGAATTAGAAATGTATGTATTCTCCAAATGACCTATGCTTCTCACATTCAGCAAGAAAAGTTAGAGCACTCGGAGCTCTGAACTTAGTTCATGTGCTACTATTTTGCATCAGTGATTCAACTTCAGTGCCAGCGCAGCGAGAAATGAATGTTGATGTAGTGCAGCAAAAAGTAAGACAGTGGAGGCTGAATTATTTTAATTTAATCTCAACACTCACATCCTGGGGTTTGTGCCATGTCTTGACAATACTTTTCTAACCTAACATTAACTAGAATTTACTGCAGTTGTCAGTTGAAAAATACAGTATATATCCAGTAAAAAGACTTTGGCGGTGAACATTTTGCAGACACATAACATTCTGTCACATCACAGAGTTGGAGAAAGGAAAATATTTTGGTCCTGGTGCAAGAAAATCTACAGCAACCATACTTGCAGTCTGAGTAAAGACCATCTCAGCCTTAACATCAGACACAAAGCCTAAGAGAGAAAGCCCTATGGCTTATGATAAATGACTGGATTTATTCCATATGTGTCTGTATAAATCTGCACACTGTTCATTGTTTGAGCCATTCATATTTCAGCTACATTAATTTAAACCTGGTCGCCCGTTGAACTGAGCTCCAAACTTAAGGATGAAGCTGGAGCAGGAATTTCCCAGCTGCAGATTAGGAACTTTATCAGTGCTCCTCCAAAATACTGTAAATGTGTTGTCACCATAAGAGACAAAGATGTAACAAGCACTTTTACACCTTGTTAAAAAGCTGCCCTACTAATCAATTGCAAAACTTCACCTCTCTGTTTCTCTGTTCAACTTTTACCCTGCTGAACATCCTTCTAAACTGCTGTCTCACAGTTTCCATAAATAAGATCCAATACATTAATTTTAAAAAAATGAGCACAAACAGCACACCACAGCCACAGGTCAGTGTGTCTACCCACACTATTCAATACTGAAAGGAACCAGAGAAAGGAAGAAATGACAAAAATACAGACATGCCTGACACTTTTATTCTCCAGTGTAAGAAGGAATAATTTATTTTCTATTCAGCTTGCAGAGTTTATGATAGCAGTCGATAAAAAAACAACACACAAAAAAGAAACCCTGCCATGCACTCTAGACTTAATAGCGACTCTGCCTCCTCCTCTTCAAGTATCTTCTCGACTCCTCTTCTCCTCACCAACTGCCTCTTCGCCATCGTCTGACCCCTTCTTCTGTCTTTTTTCACTTAATAAGGAAGCTGAGAGACAGAGGAGAGAAGGGGAAATGAGAGAAACAAAAGGAATAGGGAATAGAAAATAAGAAGAAAGGAATATAAATAAAGTGTATTTTTCTGTTACACAACAACACAATGTATTTTTAGCAGGGGGGCAAAAGATACAACCAAAAAACTGTGCTGTACATCATTTTCTTGTTAGACTGCAGGTTCAAACTGTTTCTGGAAGCATCAGGGAAAACTGCTTTAATGCTTGTTGAAGATGTATTTGTCCGTCAATCAGGAAACGGAATTAAGGAGTGTCTATATGCTGCTAAAAATTAAAAACTTGCATTGTGATGATAAATATAAAGTTAGTCGCAGTCAAATCAAATATAAGAAACATAAGCATAAGAAAAGTGTCTAATCACACTAAAAACACTTCTGCTACTTCGGAGCTAACCCTCTAAATGCTTACTTAATGGTGTGGAAGTTTGTTTTTTGTTGTTGTAACCTGGAGAATCCATTCAATATGTATGTTTCCAATAATAGTTGAAAGATGATGTTTTCCTTCAACGGCATTCATAATTTCCCCATAACTGGAACCAGATTACAGAGTTCTTTCCAGGGAATGGGGAATGGGAATAACCTGTTAAATATCCCATTATCAGTTACTATGGATGGCTAAACTCTCCATCAATTGATTTTAGTCACAATACAACAATCATTGAGCTGGCATAAGCAATTTGGTCCAGTTTTCAAGCTACAGGTCACAACAGGGTTCAAGCCCCTATGGCAGTAACTGATCTGCCCTGGTGAACTGCCCTCAACAACCTGAATCCTTTCCAGCTCCAGAGGCGAGTTTCTACAGCTGGAGGTGTTCTGGTGTTGTGCTGTAATAACCTTACTCCTGCTCCAGTGGCAATGTATTGGACCCAGACTCTGTGGACTTGTGGAGTGTTTTCTGTCAAACATTAAATCTTTTTTATGTAGTGGCGACCTTTAGCTCAAAGCGGGACCAAATTGCTGCTGTTCTGGCTCACTAAGCTTAAGGGTTTTAGTTTCTAAACACATTAATTATATGACAACCTACAGACAATGTCCATGATGAATCCATGATTTCTAATATTCAGGGTAAAGATACAAAAGGTGTGTGAATATACTGTATAATGAGTGTACGGCAAACCATCAAAGAAGCATTGGAGTCAACAAAGTCAGACTGCAAATCTCTGTTGAAGTTTTAGCTGTAAAACTGGTCTCTAGAGAGAGAAGCTTGGCAATGTGGCTTATACATTTTGGAGGGAGTGTTTCCAATCGAACAGCTGTCTTAAGATCAATGAAATAATGGGAATGGATGGATCGTGTTTTGGCCTGGATTTCTGCACTGTGTCTGCAATAAGTCTGCAGTGATTTTATGTCAACTTCACTGATTTTAAGATTCATTGTACGCCTATATATTTTGTTTGAATAACTGTTGAGTAAGCTGGATGAAACTTGTGCAAGCAACTGTGCTGTGGTACTGTACGGTTGCTATAGTTACCTGTAGGGGTATCCATGGTACTTGGACCTGAAAATGGAGAGCAGGAAGCTAAAGAAAAACACCACCAGTCCAAGACCAACCAGGCAGATGACTGAAAAGACACACACACACACACACACACACACAGTTTGTCATTAATAATAATAATAAATACAGAACTGAAACTGAAGCCACAATACACACACAGTATCAGAATGTGATAATCTGGTGTTCTGATTAAGTTAAAAAAAGTGCATTAAGAAACTGCAACATGATCTCTAAAACTAAAGTTTCTATAACTACACTTAATGCTTTGTAGTTTCTATATTTTTCCAACTTTTTGCAGGTCCTGCAGACACCCTGATATATGCATAATACTTATTACACAATGGCCTGTGAGAATATTTGATTCCTGGCTAAAGGCAACCATTTAAATCATTTCACACACATTATAATCGTTGATGCAACTCTCTGTTTGATCTCCGCTCAAATTGAATGTGCTTGCAGGGTTTAGACATGGTACACACTGAAAGCCTGTCTCTTCATGTTGGTGGTTCACACACACACGTAAGCACCTACATGGGCATACAGACGCACAGCCAAATGAGGATATTGGCTGAAATGCTAATATAAAGGACGTCTAAAACATTACGTGATGCTCTTCATCATGCCAATACCCTTTAATATTTGCCCGCAATCTCACATGTGCCACTTCCTGTTTCTCATCATCAACCGTACTGTGCTGCAGAAAATTGTGTTTGCAAATATTATCATCTTATTTCCTCAGCGCCTAGTCTAAAGCGAAATATACATAAGCATGATCTTTAATCTGCAGGGGAATTGTGTGTGTCTGTCTTTGTGTGTGGGCGTATGAGTGTGTGCACACACCCTCATGTAGCAGCTAATCCTTGAAAAGCACTGTGTTAAATTAAACTGTCACCACCGACTGATATTGTTAATCAGGGATTAGGATGAGGACCTCTCCTGGAGACTAAATAGTGAGATATGCGCTTGTTCTCACTGTGTGTGTGTGTGTG